TGACCCTGTGGGCCATATGGGCCCCTGACGTGCCATGCGGGGCTCGGTGGGTTGGCAGCCCCATGGTCTTCGACCGCCCCTTTGCTGCCCACAGGCATGCAATTGGGAAGGACTAAGACAGCGCGGATGGATGCCCCCCCCAGGCGACGCCGTCTGTGGGTGGGCCCTTCACGACAGGGCCTCGTTTCACCGCAGTGACAGGCGCCCTGCCATTAATGCCCGCGTCACCTCCTGGGAGTGAGGTGCACTGCGCACACTGCGTCTAGACCCCCACGGGGCCTCGGGGGATCTTAGCCCGCGCGGTCTGGCTGCAATAGTTCCGGCCCGCGGCTGACTCTGGCCTTGTCGCGCAGACATGGGCCCGTTTGGCCCGCTCGGGCGATCACTTTGGACGGCGGGGGCCGCAGGCCTAAGGCCCGCCCCATGCGCTCCACATGCTGCTCTCCTGGCGCGACGGCCGTGCCCGGGTGGTGTTCCCCCTCCCGCCTGGCAGGCGCCCTGCGCCGACTTCCTGCCGACTACGCCGTGTTGGGTCCTCGACGTTCTGTGTCGCCACGCGGTTCTGCTCCTATCCCTTGCATTCAACCGACCTGCGGCTATCGGCTGCGCCCCCCTTTTTCCGCTGACTTGCGGCTATCGGCTGCCGTTCCCCCTCTAAGACGCGGCTGCGGCGGGCCTTCGACGCGTGCGTCCACAAGGTGCGCTGCACGCCGGCAGGGGCCCCCCCGGGCCCTGCCGTTGCGGTGGCTCCATCGCGACAGGGAACCGTTTCACCGCAGTGACAGGCTCCGACTTGAATGCGCGCCACCTCCGGGGGCGATGGGGCACCACTCACTTCGCTGCGTTCTGACCCCGCGCGTCTCGTGGGTCCTTAGTCCGTGCGGTTCTGGCTGCGCTTCCGGCCCTCGGTTCTCTTCGGCCCTGTTCTCTCGGTCTTGGGCCCGCGTTGTCTTCCAGGGCGCGCACTTTGCGCGGCTGGGGCTGCCGGCCTAAGGCCCACCCCACGCGCTCCACTCGACGCCTCTCCGACGACTGGTGGCTTGCCCAGCGGCGTTCCCCCCCGCGAGGCAGGCGCCCTTCGGCCACCTCACGAGTTGGGTGCGTTGCCTGCATCGAGCACATGAGGTGCTTCGTGAGTGAGGGTTCCGGTTGCAGTTGCCCGCCGTGCCCCTCCCTCCGCTTCCCGGTTTGCTGGGCGCTGGCGCCACAGTGCGTCGCCCCGCTGACGCTGGGCTGCCGTTTTTGTGCGGCTTAATTCTGTTCTCTTGGCCCCCGCATGTGCATTCCGGCGGTGGCTGTTGGCCCGCTGGCAATTATCTAGCTTGTCCCCTCGCGGTGCTGCTGTTGCCAGGATGCGTCTTCTGTTTTCTGTTTTCTTGGCTTAATGAGGTTCATTTTGTTCCTCGCATGTGCATTCGGGCGTTGGCTTTTGGCCCGCTGGCAATTATCTGGCTTGTCGCCCCAAGCTCGCTACGACCCGCTCCCCGGGGTTTTCCTTGGAGCCGCCGAACAACAAAGTAACCTCACCAGCCCATCCAGAAACGGTGCCCAGAGGCCCAGAGGAAGTGCCTCGATGAGAGAAGTGGGCAGCACACAGAGGAAGGGCCCCCCAGTGGAGGCCTCTTGGAGCGTCTTGGGGGCCTCTTGGCGGTCCAGGACGCCTCTTAGAGCGTCTTGGGTGCTTTGGAGATCTTATTGGGGCCTCTTGGGAGTCTCTTGGGGGCCTCTTGGAGGCCTCTGGGGCGCCTGTTGGGGCTCCGGGGCGCCTCTTGGGGCCCTCTTGAAGCGCTCTTGGGAGCCTTGGGAACGCTCTTGGAGCCCTCTTGGGCCATCTTGGAGTCATCTTGAAGCTTCGGATGGCCATCGGAAGCGAAGAGGCGAGAAAACCCAAACTACTGATGTTCCTAAGGTTTTGGACGAAGTTTGGCCTCTGCCTCCTGGGGGAGCTCTTTGGCCACTTGGAGCCGTCTTGAAGCGGTCTTGGGGCCTCTTGGAGCATCGTGGGGGCCATTTTGAGGCATCTTGGGATGTATTGAGCCATCTTGGAGGTCATCTTGGGCTCCCCCAGGCGCTGTTGGAGTCATCTGAAGCAGTGCACCCCCCCCCAGGAGGCCCAAATGTGGCCAAAACCTTATTAAATTCAATGATTGTGGCATTGTCGCCGAGGCCTCTTGGAGCGTCTTGGGTGCCTCTGGGGGGGGCTCTTGGGGCCTCGTGGGGGTCTCATGGGAGCTTCTTTGGGGCATCCTGGCGGCCTCTTAGGGGCTCCTTGGGGCCACATGGGGCCATTTTGGGGCCATCTCGGGGCCTCTTTGGGCCTCCTGGGCGTCTCTTGGGTCTTGGAGGAGATCGATCACAGGAGGGGGGTTCTAAATTACCCCCCCCCCCATCAGGAGGCCCAAATAGTAAAACCAATTATTTTGGTTTCTTCGCCGACGCCGTTTTGGACGCTCCAACGCGTCGCGGAACTCCCCGGCCAGGTCCAGGGGAGGGGGTAGGGGGAGGGGTCAAGACGCCCCCCCCGCCCGCAAACCGTCTCGCTCACTCCCGCCCGCCCTCCCAACACATACGTAGCACCTGAGCCTGGCCCGGGCCGCAGCATATGCAGCAGTCGTCTTTGGATGGGCAGCTATTTGGGGCCAATCCACCGCCGCCGCCGCCTCCGTCTCCGCCGCCGCCGCCCGCCCGCCGCCGCCACGCCGCCGCCGCCGCCGCCGCTGCCGCTGTCCGCCGCCGCCGCCGCCACCGCGCCGCCCGCTGCCGCCGCCGCCGCCGCCGCCGCAGCCGCCGCCGCCGCCGCAGCCGCCCGCCGCAGCCGCTGCCGCCGCCGCCCGCAGCCGCCGCCGCCGCCGCCAACCGCCGCCGCCACCGCCGCAGCCGCCGCAGCCGCTGCCCCCGCCGCAGCCGCCGCCGCCGCCGCCAAGTGTATTCTGTATCGTTTTTTGAAAGGGATGGTGGGGGGAGGCCGCATCGGATTCACGGCGCATGCTCCGAATTTTGATGCAGACTGTGTTTTGTGCTGTTTTTACAAAGGATGGTGGGGGGGCCCTCATTGACTCGGGTTGGCTCCCAGTCGCCTGGGGGAGGGGGTGTCTATTAACAGGGAACAGTGATAAACCCCTCCCTGAAGGGGAAGTAGGAGGGGTAACAGAGAAAACGCTCTAGACCACCTATGCCCAAAGGGCTGGTGGGATGCTGGACACTTCAGCTTTTGGGCTCGGGGAAGGGGGTGCCAGTCGTATGCATTTCAATCATCAGGCTGTTGTCGTTGTCGCGTATCATGTCAGGTTGTCTTCGCGCCATAGGTGCGAACACTTGTTGCCCGGGCACCTCAGCGATGGTGACGAGAGCAGAAGGAAGGAAGAGGGTTTGACTGGGTGGTTGAGCAGCGGGGGCGCGCGGGAGGAGGAGGAGGAGGAAGTTGAGGAGGAGGAGGAGGATGAGGAAAAGGAGGAGGAGGAGGAGGAGAGGAGGGAGGAGGAGGAGGAGGAGGAGGAGCAGGATGGCACCTGTGCCGCTGGGTGCCCCCCCGTGGCGCCCCAGGAAAACAGGCGGTTTCGCAGCCGGATCGTCACCACAGCTCGTCGGGGCTGTGGGAGAGACTCTTTCCCTGTGGTTGGCCAGCCACAGTAGGTGCGGGCCCGCCGTACCACCCCTGAGAGGCCCGATGGGGTTATTCGAAGGGGTCCCCCAACGCGGGGGGCGCGGGAATGTAAGTCCTTGGGCAGCGGGGTCTCCGCTGCTTGAGGCCAGCGGCCAAGGGGTGGTGGTGCCGGTGGCCGTGTCTCGGGGTGGCATCTCGAGCCATTTCGCGACGGCGGCGCAAATGTGACGCCTGGGGCGGGTTTGTGCCGCCGCTCATGTTGCGAAGCCTGGCTGCATGTGAATTCGTGCTGGCACCTTGGGCACTTCCCTTCGGATTGTGTCGCGTCGCCCACATGCTCTGTCTGGGTACCAAGCAAAAGGAGGAGGAACAAATAATGTGGGATTCGCTATACGTTGGGACGCACGGGCAAAACATGATAGGGGGATACGAAAGAAACGTGTTGGGAGAAACATGATGATTGGGAGGAGGATGCGGAGTATCAAGGGGACGAAGAGGAACAGTTGGAGGAGGGGACGGGCAGGAGGTATGGCAAAATAGCAGGAGGCGCCGACTCGATATTTGCAGTGTGATTGGTTATGCTGGTTCTACCGATGGTGACGGTCGTACCTTCAATTTTGATGATGATGATGATGATGATGGTGATGAGGGGGTGGAAGAAAAAGAAGCGGATGGGCAGCGAAGCAGGCACAATAGCGGTATGAGTACGTAGTTGCAGGGGACAGGGAGAGATGTGGGCTCCCGCCCTCCACCCCGCCTGCCTCCCAGCTTTTAACCTCCCTGCCTCGTGGTCGTCCTCCCTGCCTCCCACCTGCAAGTTTGTGACGCGTCGCAGGAGCGGCGTCGTTGGCGCTGGCGCTCAAGATCAGGCCAACCGCGTCCTGAATCAGGCCAGCCTTGAGCGATCTTTTCTACCGGGGAGCAGAGATGGATCAAGATTGATAGATCCACGCGGTGTCAAAAAACAGATCCTGCGGCGACGCGACGGGGGCCAGCCGTTCCGCCGTAATTACCTTCGGCACCTTCGTACCCCACGGGCGACAACCAGATCCGTATCCACGGCCTCGCGGGGTGGGCCCCTTGGCAGCGACTCTGCGAATACGGGGCGCTGTTTCGCACATACTCCGCGCGGAACACCTCCGAATGGCCGCGCATCCACTGCATCGCGCCGCGGAATGCAGACCGCGAGAGCGCGGATATGGACACGTTCGCCACTCGTGGTATCTTCGTGCCTCCCTCCCTCTCCCCTCACGTAGGGACGGAGGCCCCGCGGTATATCCGCCAGGCCGGCGCTCTCGGGGTCCCCGCTTCCGCGCCGCCGCCACCGCTGTCGGTGCCCCCGTCGTTGGCGGCGGCGGCGCCGCTGCTGGCGCCCCGCGTGCGCGTCGCATCTCAGCCCCACGCCGGCCTGGTCAAGAAGAGGCTGCAGGACATGTCGGTGAAGGAGCTGGCCTGGTACTTGAACAAGCAGGAGACAGCCCCAGCGGGGCTGGGCGGTGGCAGTTTTCGGAGGAGGGCTAAGAGTCCTTCTGGAGCAAGCCCACACGGAGTGCTCGGTCTCCGTCTGGGCTTACGCAGTCTGGAGTTAGCCTCTCTGGCAGCTCGCGGCCCTTGGGCATCCGTAGCGTAAAGGTGAAACGGGCATGAGCTCGCAGATGTCCGCACGGACCTCTTGGATCGGCGCTGGGCCCACCGCCCCGCCACCCTTGGCGGCGCCCCTGGCGCGCTCCTCGCGCCGGGGAGGTCTTGTGGGGAGTGGAGGTCAGTGCCGAGTCCAAGGTGTCCGCTTCGGAATCCTGGCTAGGCCGCGCTCATGGATGCCTGGGGCAGGGTTTCAATTCCCACCTCTTTTTGATTCGATCCGATCCGGCATCGATCTTGCTCGGCTCGATCCTTGTCGAGTCCAGTCAATTGACGATCCGACGCGGCCTTGCTCTTACGCAGCGGCGTTGCGCTATGTTCAAGTGGCGTACGCCATTCCGCCGACCTCTAGTGGAGACACTAATTCCGCGGGTGGGGTCCGTCTTGACGTCATCGTGGGCGTGTGTGGATCCGAAGGCAAGTAGTGGACCCCCGCCTTTGCAATCTGAGAAGGGATCTCGGGCTTCGTGGAGTCGAAGGAGTGGAAAAGGCAAGGACCCGGAAACTCCGGCGAGGCGTGTAAGAGTGTAAGAGCGATGCCGAGGAAAACAACGACGGACCATTCGATGAAACACGACAGAGTGGTGAGGGTGAGAAGCTGGGGCAAGGGGAGGGGGAATGTGATGATGATGATGATGATGATGATGATGATGATGATGATGATGAGGATGAGGATGAGGATGAGGATGAGGATGAGGATGAGGCTGAGGATGATGATGATGATGAGGATGAGGTGGAGAAAGTGGAGGACAACCTGGAAGGTGGAAGGCGAGGGAGAGGACGAGAGGAAACGGAGGAGGAGGAGGCGGAGTTCTGTTGTCGCGTGAGCCCCTGTTGTCGGCTTGTGAAAGTTTCTACGGACTTTGAGGCCTTCTGTGGGGTTTTGGATGCCTCGAAGTCAAGCTGGGAGGTGGAGGGCGAGGGGGGGGGGCAGAATGAAACAGAGGAGGAGGAGGAGGAGGAGGAGGAGGAGGAGGAGGAGGAGGAGGAGGAGGAGGAGGAGGAACCGGAGGAAGAGAAGGAGGAGGAGGAGGAGGAGGAGGAGGAGGAGGAGGAGGAGGCGGAGCACCGCTGTCACATGAGACCCTGTTGTCGGCTTGTGAAGGTTTCTGGGGGATTCTCGGGGCCTCACTTGAGCCTTGGGGGGCTTCTGGGGCTTCACTTGGGCCTTGGGGCTCACTTGGGCGCTTGCTGGCGGTCTCTGGGGGCGCCGTGGGCTGGAGAGCTCGAGTTATCACTGGGGGTTGGCCTGCTTGTGCGCCGCTTGGGACTCTGTTGGGACCATCTGGGGCCATCGTGGTGGTTGATTATTGGGCCGTCTTAGGGCTCTCTTGGGCCCCTTCGGGGCTCTTTGGGGTTTCTTCGGCTGTCTTGGAACGATCTGGAGGGCTTATGGGGCAGTCGTGGACGCTGTGAAGACTACAAAGGCGAGCACTCTGACACGTTGCGTTCCCCCAGAAAGGATTGGGACGATTTGTGTTTTTTGTGCCTTCGTAGGGGTCCTCTTGGGACCCTATTGGGACGTCTTTGATGTCACGTGGGCGTTCTGGACGCCATCTTTGCTAGTTATGATCTCTCTCCGGCGTATCGGAGGCCAGCTGAGGTTGCAGTTTGGGTTTTTTGAAAGGCACGGGGTGTAGGTTTTGGAGGCTCTGGTGGCTTCAGGGGTGCGTCGGGGAGTCCGCCCCCCTCCTCAAACGCGGAACGGGGGAGATGGTCGTTTTTTGATTCATTGTTTTGCCGATCGGCGCGGCCCTTACCCCCCCCCTTGCCTCGCCATAGACGGGTCGACGGGTCAGCGGTGTTGGGCCCGACGGGCAACCTGGGGATGCGCCTGCCAGCGCCCTTAGGAGTGGGAAGCGGGGAAGGAGGAGGGAGAGGAGGAGGAGGAGGAGGAGGAGGAGGAAGAGGCACAGGAGGAGGAGGAGGAGGAGGAGGAGGAAGAGGCACAGGAGGAGGAGAAGAAGGAGGAGAAGGAGGAGAAGGAGGAGGAGGAGGAGAAGGAGGAGGAAAAGGCGGAGGAGGAGGAGGAGGAGGAGGAGGAGAGAAGTTTAGGGTACTTGGGTGCCTGGGCCGCCAGGCCTTCCAGCAACAACCCGGGAATTCAGGGTGCCTGGGGGCCTCCCTCAGCAAGTCCTCGTCCTCCTCGCCCTCCTTCGTCCCCCCCCCGGACCCTCCTCTCTTTCCTGCTCTCCTTTCCTCGTCCTTCCCCTCTTGCTGCCCAGATTTCTCCTCTTGGTTCCCTCGTGCTTCCCCTCCCGCTCTGGCTACCCCCCCCTGGAGGGGGGCAGCTGCCGCTGCCTGCCTGGCCTGGGCCAGCAGCGGCCGCCGCCCGCGGCTGCCGGCCCCGCCGCTGCCCGTGGCCGGCGGCTGGGGGGAGGGGGCTGCACCGGCAAGAAGGAGGAGAGCAGCAGCAAGAAGAGGAACAGGAGAGGGACGACGACAACCAGGGGGGAGAAGGAGGACAAGTAGGAGGAAAAGGAGAAAGAGCAGGAAAGCAAGAGGAGGAGAAGGAGAAGAAGGAGGAGGAGGTGGAGAAGGAGAAGAAAGCGCAGGATGAATATTATCAGGGGGGCGAGGTGAGGAGGAAGAGGAGAAAGAGTAGGAGGGGGAGGAGGAGCAGGAGGAAATCTCCAGATAGCCCAAGATGGCCCATGATGGCCTCAGACCTAGATGGCTCAAAATGGCCCGAAACGGCTCCAGGATGAGGAGATGGCCCAAGATGGCCTCGAAGAGCCCAAGATGACCTTCGAGATGGCTCAAGAAGGCCCAGAATTTCTCAAGATGGTTTCCAAGATGCCCCAGGAGGATCCAAGACCGCTCCAAGACGGCTCCGAGCGGCCACTGGGGTCCCCAGGAGGCCGCCAGCAGGCCAACATGTTTCAAAATGCAAGGGAACTCGATGAACGTTGCGTTCTCGCTTTTTTGCTGCGGATGGCCTTCCGAGGCCTCAAGGTGGCTCCCAGAGGGCCCAAGAGGGCCCTGAGGGAGACCAAATACAGCCCCGAAGGGGCCCCGAGAGCGCCCAAGGGCGCTCCAAGAGCGTCCCAAGAGTGGCCCAAGAGGCGATCTTGGGCGCTCCCGAAGGAAGCCCGAATTCCACCAGCCCTTTGGGTTAGGTGGTAGAACGCGTTTGTTTCGTCTCTCTCTACCCCTCCCCCTACCCCCTCCCCTGGGCCTGGGAGGGGGGGTGACGGAGGCGCCGCAGCTTCCAAGATGGCCCAAGAAGGCTCCAAGAGGGCTTCCAAGTCGCAAGATGGCCTCCAAGATGGCCCATGCTACTCCAAGATGGGCCAAGATAGTCTCCGACATATCCCCAAGAGGCCCCAAGACAGCCCAAAGACGGATCCAAGTGCCCTCCGAGCCCTACGCGGCGCCCGCCAAGATGCCCAAACCCTTCAAAAGCTTAGGGAAAAACGATATGTTTGGCATTATCGCCTTTTCGCTTCAGATGGGTTTGGGAAGCCCCAAGATGGCCCCACGATTGCCCAAAAGAGGCCCAAGAGGGGCCCAAGAAGGCCGAAGACGGCCCCAAGATCGCCCAAAGGGCGCCCAAGAGCACTCCAAGAGGGCCCCAAGATGCCGTTTGAGAGCCTCCGAGGGGGCGATGCTAATTGAGGGGCCTCCTCTTTTTGAACCATGGGGCCCAAGATGACCTCAAGAGGCCTCCCAGCCTCTCCCCAAAGACCCTCCACCCCGCCCTGTCTGGCCCAATATGGCTCCAAGAGAGCCCTAGATGGGCAAATATGGTTTTCGAAATGGCCTAAGATAGCCAAGCATGGCTCAAGATAGCCTCCGACAGACCTCCAAGAGGCCTCAAGGCAACCTCAAGATGGCTCAAGATAGCCGAGCATGGCTCAATATAGCCTCCGACAGCCTCTAGCAAAGCATGGCTCAATATAGCCTCCAAGAGGCCTCAAGAAAACCGGCAATCAATTCTGGATGGGCTGGTGGGGATACGCGAAGCATCAAGAGTTGAAGCTCTCCTGTTCTTTGATCTATCTCCTCCAAGATGGCCCCAAGAGCGCCCCAAAGTAAGGCTCCCAAGAGGGCATCAACAAGGCCCCAAGAGGCCCCAAGAGGCGTCCAAGATGCACCCAAGGGGCTCCCAAGATACCTCCGAAAGGCACCCGAGATTGGGCCGCCAAGAGGCCCCCAAAACGCTCCAAGGGGCGACCAAAAGAGACATCTGAGGAGACTCTGGAAGGCAGCTCGCCTGGGCTCGTGTCTGTGGGGATACGCAAAATAAGAATCGCGCTTCGCGCGTCGCGACACGGGCCGCTAAATCACCCTTTTTTTTCCCAGGGGTTTGGCAAAGGCGTGGCGCATCGCACGTTCGGTTCTCCGGAAGCGCAAGAAAATCCAAGTCTTCACGTGCATTGGTTTACTCCTGCAGTACCATCTGTTTTGATATTCCAAGCGCACCCAGCCGTGGAGAGCCCAGGGGGGCCCGAAGGGCCCATAGCACTGTCGTTATCTGCGTTATCGTGTAGCTGTTTTGGCTTCTTTTTTTTTTTCGTTGTGGCAGTTTTAGCGTGCTCTTCTTGTCTCCTTGTCCACAGACATGGCAGGCCGCGCGGACGCTCGGTCTCGTTCCCCGCGTGTGTTCCTGAACTACCACAGCCAACACTTCGGTATCATGCCAATGGCCGCAGATGATCAGATCCCAAATCCGTTGTGGACGTCGCTTTGGTCCTCCGAGCGCCACGAACCCCTCAGGAACCTCGACAGAATTGACATCTCTCACAAGTTGACCATCATCAAAGGCAAGCCTGGTTGTTTGTTCTGTCGCCTGTGTGGTATTTTCATGGTTGAGACTTTCAATGGCGC